TCTTGTTTTTTTTTTTTTTTTTTTTTGCAGTACTGGTTTGCACTCAGGGTCTCATGCTTGTTAGGTAGGCAGTCTACCATTTAAGCCACTCTGCCAGCTCCCCTGACCTTTTTTGAGACATGGACTCACTACATAGCTCAAGCTGGCCTCAAATTTGCAATTTTCTTGTCTCTCCTCCCAAGTCCTGGTATTGTAGATGTGCACCACCATACCTGGCTCAGCCTCATTTGTGTACATATACTCAATGTACATGTACAATCACATGTGTGATTATTTGCACAATGAAGATTTTTCAGAATATACCCTCATCGTTAATTGCCACATGACTATAAAAACAGCGAATAGAAAATTCCTAAAATGTGACCCAATAAGCCTTAAATGACTTAATTAAAAGATGGCTCAAGGGCTGGAGACATGGCTTAAGTGGCAGAGTGCCTGCCTTATTCAGTAAACAGAAAGACCTACTTGAAAGTTAACTCAAGAAACAGTAAAACTGCCATGTGCTGGTGGCTCACAACTGCAATCGTAGCTACTCGGGAAGCAGAGATCAGGAGGACCTAGGTTCAAAACCAGCCCAGGCAAATGGTTCAGGAGACCCTATCTCAAAAATACCCAACACAAAAAAGGACTGGTAGAGTGGTTCAAATGGTAGATTGCCTGCCTAGCAAGTATGAGGCCCCAACTTCAAATCTGAGCACTGCCCCCCTCCCCCAAAAGAAACAGCAAAATTACTTCAGGTCTTTATGTCAAAATCTAAGGTGTTTAGAAAACTTACAAGGCAGATTTTCCTGTGCGGGGATCTATATAGGTGGTTGTTCTTCTGTTGTGGTCAACAAAATACGGAACTCCATCTACTGTGAATCTCATTTCCCAGCCTTCAGGTAAGGGCTTTTCATTTAATTGACTATAAAACATTGGGAAAGAAATGTGAACATATAAAAAACATTAAATACTTTTTTGCCAAGTACAGAAACTAAAAATATCCATAATTGTAGTGTAAAATATTTTAGAAAACCATTTAGATCCTTATTTTTGGTTGTATACTGGACATCTCTATCTGAATACCCTACAAACACATTAAGCTTACCATCAACAACATAAAACTCAATTAACACTCAGTCTTGCACCATATTCTTGGCTATGTCCCGCCATCTATCTGACACCCCACCTTAAACATTGATGGTAATTAAGCTCTGCCATTCTGCCTTACAAGTCTGCATATTCACCCCTTATTTTCAACCCCAACACTACCCTTGCTCTGGCTTTACTCATCTCTAAAAGGTTTTCCTGTCTCTAGTCCCTCTATGGTCCTTTTTGTTCTCTCTCCTTCTCCCATCTCTTCCCCTCCCCATTCTGATGGTTCTGGGGATGGATCCAATGCCTATTGAATGTGGGGCAAGAGTACTACCACCAAGACCAGACTTTACTCATATACTGATATTGCTAACAGTTTTTTGTTTTTATTTTTTGCAGAAGTGAGGGGTTTGAACTCGGGGCCTTGCATTTGTTCGACCACTTGAGCCACAACCCAGCCCTTTTCTGCTTTAATTATTTTTCTGATAGGATCTCACATTTTTGCCTGGGGCCAGCCTTGGACAGCAATTGTACTAACACCATCCTCCCAAGAAGCTGAGATTACTACACCAGGCCTCCCCTTTTTTAATAGTTTTTTTTTTTTTTTTTT